TGTAGTGGCCCGTCTGTTCTCCGATAGGCGATTTGCTTTGGCCAAATTTAGTTTCAGCATCGAATATGTATTGGGCAAATTTTTGCACTTGTTGATGGATTGGGGGCCTGCGAACCATAACTCAAGTAACTCTCACTAGAGGTGACAATAGAGTGAGCCGAGAATTACTTGATTCATGGTTCAGAGGCCCCCAATCCATCAACAAGTGCAACGATTTGCCCAATACATATTCGGTGCTGAAACTAAATTTGACCAAAGCAAATCGCTTATCGGAGAACAGACGGTCCACTATATCATTTTATGCCAACAGCGCAAGGCCAGATGGTCATGGCTGACACAACAAATCAAAACACACTCAGGACATTCATCGATTTTTCTGTACGTTTAAATTTTACGGCAACCCTGTGCACACAAAAACTGTTTCTGCTACTGTTCTGTGAGTATGTCTCTGAAGATGAATCCACGACGGATTTCGAAACGTCAGGCGAATAAACATTTTGTCTCAGCGATCGAGTCGTCTTCTACTTCTCAACTACTTCCTGGGACTCGCATGTTCGCTTGTTTGAGCAATAACCATGTTATTATTCTGTTCCGAATGCAAGAGTTCTCGATTTAAATTGATGGAATCCTAATTAGGTCATTTACAGAGATAAATTTGCGTCCTTTAGACCATCGCAACCAGGTGGTGACCCACAAAGTGCGCGGTAATGCTGATGACTGACGTGCACATGTAAAGGTCTAGTGATGGAAGGCATCCTCCCAATTTATCGAGGTCACTCTTTTCTTACCCGGCCTCCCCATTCGCAAAACAGTGCTACGATTGCGGATGATCTGGAATCAGAGGGTTAATTTAAAATAGCAAATGTCGCTTTGCTTGTCATACCCGGCCTGCCCTCCACGGTATACGACATACTTTTGTGTGACCTGATTCAGTGCCTACAAAAATGCGGTCCTTATAGAGATCCCATCCAGGTCAGATTTTAGTGATTTTTAGAGTAAGTTCCTAATGGTCTGCATTTGTTGCATGTGCATTGCGATTGCTTCTTGAGGTTGCGATTAATATAAATCCAAGAATTTCACAAGTGGATTTTTTTAAAGCTTATTCTACTTGCGTTGCTTTATTTACTCGTTTTTTGCATGAATGCTGGAAATGCGGCGATTCCAACGATCCACGATCTCACAGTCATCTCTAAGAGACTCTGGCAATCACTTGGCGCCCCCACAATGCAGCAGACGTCTCAGTCCGCCACAAACGCGTGTGGCGGCCTTGTGCAGTTAATGGGACAACTGCAGTGGGGTGTTTCCTTTCGCGCCAATTGCATCACTGCTACTCGCTACATCACCAAGTCCAACCTCAATTTCCTTGGCCTCGATTGAACTGAACAACATGTCTTGGTTGATTTGCCGCTCCGCCTTGTTTGCAATCAAGTGCAGATTCCGGCTGTAATTGCAGACCCCGCCAACGACATTTTCCAAGCTCCAAAACACTGCCTGTTCTTAAACCGCCAAATCAACGGCAGGCTTCGGATAGGCCTTGGTCCCGTGCGCACATCGATTTCGCTGGTCCACTCGACGGTGTAACTTACCTAGTTTTAGCTGATGCCTACACAATGTGGACCAAGATTGCACCGCTGCATCCGGCAACCACCTATGCCACTATCGCATTCCTATTGTGCATTTTCAGCCAACACGGCCTACCGGATGTTCTGGTGTCGGATAATAGCTCGCAATTTACTTTATCAAGACTTGAGTATTTCTGCCTTCAACACCACATACAGCATCTTCGCTCCACGCCCTACCATCCCTCATCGAACTGGCAGGCGGAACGCTTTGTTGACACCTTCAAACGAGCCCTCTTGAAAGTCCGTGAGCGGCAGTGCAGTAACCCAACCGGACCCGAATCAGGC